CAGCATTACTTGTAATAAGGGAGATGCAAATCAAAACCACAATGAGATACCACCTCACACCAGTGAGAATGGCACATATTAAAACAGCTAGCAACAATAAATGTTGATGAGGATGTGGAGAAAAAGGAACTCTTCTACATTGCTGGTGGGAATGAAAACTGGTACAACCACTATGGAATGCTGTGTGGAGGTTTCTCAGACTGCTAAAAATGGAGCTTCCTATTACCCAGCAATGCCACCTACCTAAAGGACACAACAACATTAATTCAAAAGGACACTTGCACCCCCATGTTTATTGCTGCTCTATTTCTAATACAGAAGATGTGGAATCAATCCAAATACCCCAAAATAGATGACTAGATCAAGAAGTTGTGGTACAGATACACCATGGAATATTGCTCAGCAATCAGAAAAGATAAAATGTATGCCTTTTGCAGCAACATGGATAGAGCTGGAACAGGTCATAGTGAAAAAAACCCAGAAAGAAAAAGAAAAATATTGGATGATTTCACTCATAGCAGGTTAATAATGGGTTCAGGGAGGGAAAAACAATTGTAATAAAGTAAAAATGAAAAACAACGAACAGCTATAAGCCAGAGATATTTTACAGGGGTGGGGAGGGGAATAGGATCAAAATTGAGGTGGGAAGAGCACACAGGACTATGGTGATAGCACATGGGTGAATTAGTTGTGGGAAATCCACAGGGATTACAACCGAGATGAAAAAATGCACAAAATGAAAAATGATGTAATTTTTTTTTTTTTTTTAAAGAAGAAATAGTTAAACAGACTCAGGTAGGCACATATTTTCCAGTTGGAGAGATTTCTCACATTATCTACAAATTTGCTGAGAAATACATACCTTATTTATGCTTTTAAAAAATTATATTTGTATTTTGTATATAAATATAAATCTCTCAAGATGTACTATAAAGAAACCTAACCTATATAATAAAACAGATTTGAGCAATGGGAGAATTCAGGGAAGGTGGACTTATATTTCTACTCTAACATATATATTTTTTATACCTCTGTATGTCTAGCATTTTTAAGCACCAAGAATATATTAGTGTATTTATTCTTAAACAAATTAATGTGGATTGCATATTACTATGCAAACATGACAAGGGAGTGGATATAATCTAATCATTGCAAATGGTATAATTGCTTTTAATAGCTAATATGCATCCAGGATGGTTACCTTTCCCTGCTGACAGAAACTGGTGAAGTTCGTGAGGATCTTAAGCTGCCAGAAGGTGAACTAGGCAAAGAAATAGAAGGAAAATACAATGCAGGTGAAGATGTACAGGTAAAGACCTCTGGAAAGATTGTATTTTTAGGTAATCTTATAAAAACTGTGGCCTAAACTAGTAAGCTTTTAATACTGTTGAAATGTTAAAAATAACCTCTTCAGGCAGTTTTTTTTTTTTCTGATTTCTTTTAGAGACCCATTACCAAAAAAAGCATAATATCCACTTTTTCCTACATCGACACTGTCAAATCCAAATTTGTTTTCAAGATCATCCTCTAAACTGTTCTTAAAGACAAACTTTGATATGGGAGCACTAAAGAACGAAGGAGATTTACTCTCTTTGATAAACTTCCAGAAGTATAATTTTTAATAAGCATGAAATATTTATAGTTCTTTGTTTTGTTTTGTTTTGATCTTAGAAGTTGTCTTATAAGCCATAATTTGAGATTCTACTTTAGAAAAATATTTAAAAAAAAGTAGATTAACTGCTCTTAGAATATCTCCACGTTCAGTATGTATAAATGTCTGCAAATATTTAGTATATGGTAAAATCAAGATATGTACATATAATACTGCCTTCTGAATAACTTTTGACCACACTTTCCTCTTTTAGGTATCTGTCATGTGTGCAATGAGTGAGGAATATGCTGTGGCCATAAAGCCCTGTAAATAAATGGGAACATCAGGTGTGAGCACACTGTTTAGGTCTGGATCAACTACAGATCTAAAGTTTGGTTCCGAGTTGTCACCAAAGCCATGGCCTTCATAAGCAACCTCATTTCTTTCTTTAATTGTTTTGGACTTGTGCTGAATTCATTTGCAGGCAATTGGTAATTTTTTTTTAAAAATCAAAATGTATGATTCATTTTTTAATTTTGTAGGTGTCTTTCTCATAACATTCCTATTGTTTTCTGTGAGTCCAAGCAACAGACAAGATAGCTTCAGCAGATGTGATTTGTTTGAGCAACTCATCCGTAAATTTTAATTAAATGATAAATAAACCAGGGTTTTAAATCAAACAATGTAGCATCTAATGGTAGTGAAGTACCACATTTAAGTTGAATTGTTCTGCATCAATTTCAAGCTTAAATCATAGAATAAGAAAATTATTGATTGGCATTTTCAGTTTCAACCTGGCAAGGACAAATCCATAAAAAAAAAAAGCTATCAAAAAGTGTCAGTTATCTTAGTAGCCATATGCAGCCACCTCTATTACCTCAATCATAGTTACTTGCCAAGTTATTGGCAGATTTAATATAATCTTATATATAGTTGTTTTAGTACCGCTTGTAGTTGACAGAGAGTCATTGAACTTTTAGGTGACAGTTGGAAAGGCAGGCTGTAAAGACAGAGCATAGAGGGTTAGTTAAAGCCATAGATTTTTAAGGCTTTGCAATTAGTATAAGAATAGTTTTTTTCTAGTTGTGTTTTTGTTTGCTTTTAATCTCAAGTCTGTGTGTGTGTGTGTGTGTGTATTTAAAGGTGTGACCTGCTTTATAAATACTATGCAGTACTTTTTATCAATTATGTTAAATATTAGTATTTATTGTAGTCATTCCTATCCTTATGTAGATTTTTTATATTAAAAGATTTGTCAGACAAAAACTGAAAATTCTTATTTTAAGTTGATTTGGAAGACTTGTTACATTTCTGTACATCTTTTCTAAAGTGAAATGAAAGTGAATTATGAAAGAAAAGTTAATTTGTGATTAACTTATGAAACATTTTTTTTCTGATGATCATATGACAGTTCAGTTACTGGTAGGCATTAAAACTGGTAGGAAAGAATTCATCAATAAATTATTTCAAAAGGTGTTTAAGGTAACTGCTATATTTTTATTTTGTATTTTAGGTCACGTATATCTTATTTCTAAAATTCTAGGCATTGTCACGCAATTCGTGAAAATCCTTCACTCAGTAACAATCACACTGGAGTGAAACTTGGAACAAATTCACTACTTCAGTAATACCTTCATTCTCTAATACAGATATGAAGTATCTCCCATCGTGACTTGATCGTTTTGTCTGTGATCCAGAGGAAAGCTTACAATGCTGGAACTGACTTAATCAGCTCCAGTATTGTATATATTAGATTAGGTCTAATCAGAGCTGAAAATAACATTAGGAACAGAAGATCTCTGTTTCAATTACTTAATTTGTACACTTTTATATTTTGTATTAGCCTTGACAAACCCATTAAAAAGCAGCAGATACTTCAAGAAAAATGTAAGAAGGAAATTCTGAAGCACAAGAAATATTGAGTTTTCAATCATCTTTAGTATAACATTTTACCTTTCATCTTTCTAAAGCACAATTAGGAATTAGGCTAAATTCCTTTCAATATTCCATCTAAGTAATCACTAAATATTACTCTAAATTTTTAGTACTTTGAAATAGATATCTTGCTTGCTACTGATTGACATTATAAGGAATTCTGGCAGGAGTTTGTGAAAGTCATCAATCTGCTGCTTGCTAGTCTTTCATAAAATCTCAGTTAACCATATTGGTGTTCTGGTTTAGTATTAATTCTGCATTTGCATGTTTTTGTTTTCCTAACTTGTGAAACTTTACAAAAGTATATTTTTAAGTGTGAGGTAAGCACATATAAAATATAATAATGCATCCCTGTCTTCATATCTTGAATGGCAAAAACTATTTATGCATAAATATTTCAAGTACTATCATGAAGTGTAAATACTCTCCTGACATATAAGTATAGATTTTAAAGATATCAGACTGTTTATTTTCACATAAATCAATTCATGTTTCTCTAGAACAAAATATTTCATTTAGTAAAGCTTTATAAATTATATTAAAAGGAAAGCAGGGAAACATTTTTTTAACATAGAACATTATGACTTCATTCTTTTCTGATATTAGAAATGTTAAATGTTGATTTCTTGTACTTTTTGTAGAAAATGTTAAATATCACAAATTACCATGCATAGAATAATAGACTGTCATGTTGTTAAATTATATAGTGATAAAACATTTTTGTCTGTAAGCATTTCACCAATTTTTATGCAATATTAACTGGTAGGATATTTCTTTCTAGAACATATTTTCTTTCTACTGTGAAAATTTTGTTCTATCTTATTAACTACAAAGCTGTATACCCTCTGAAACAGATCAATCATGGCTACTTTCGTTTTGCATTTGCATTATAAACACAACTATGATACTTCTCTTATGTTCCCCTCCAAGGGCTGTCAGTCACTTGAAAGTGTTGCTAATAAGCTCTTGAATCTGTTTCCATTAATGGTACAAAATTCTGTACCAATGCTTTATGACAATTACCAAAACTCTCCTGCAGCCAGAACATGTGATCTTTAGTAAAAGATGCTGCAATAAGATGTTTAGACTATAAAATAGGGGCCACAATACATTACAGCACAATGTGAATGTGCATATGCACACACAGCTTTGTATGTTCTTTTTACAAAGTCCTTCCAACTCTTAAAAAAGTACTGTAGTCTGGTAGTGCCTCAAATGTTGGTAACTTTTTTTTTAATTTACAACTTTTCCAGTTTGATTTTATACTTTCAAGTTTCTCAATTAGACTTACTTCTAGTTGAGCTGTAATTTGAATGCATTGTTCTCAGGGCTGTTTGTGCTAAGATCTAAGGTTTCATTATTTTAAAGCTAACTACCTGAAAGTATATTGCAAAATTTTCCCAAGTTGTAATACAAAGATACATACAAATAAAAAATCCTTAATATCAACATACTTAAAGCTGTACGTTAAGTATTGAAGAAGAAAATGGGAACATTGGCAACATGTATCCTGGAATCTTGCCATATTTTTTTTATTTTAGAACAAAAGTTGACAGTCTTAGAACCCTATCCTTAATGATATATTTGAAAGCATGCCTTTGGAATAAATCCCAAAGATAGTCTCAGAGCCAGATGCTGACGTAGTGGTTCACAAACATATTTAGGAATAACTGAAAATTCACAATGCTCTTTTGTGTACATTAAATGTTTACATACTGAATTCTATAATATGAACTAGGAACAAAATTTACTGTTCATCAAATGTCTCTTAAGTAGTTTTAAGAGCATATTTCCATAAATAGTTTATTACATTGAACTAATAAGCAGTTTCAAGTTTTCTAATGGCATTTAGTCACATTTCATAGTTTTCAAGTTTTTTTTTTTTTCCTTCCTCCCAGCATTCAGGCAAATAGGTAACAAAAACAGTAAGAAAATTTATTGTGGAAAAATCTTACAGTTGAAAAAAATTCAATATTAAATTTTTTTTCTCTGAATTTGTTATATGGCATCATTATTTGATTTTAGCAGGAAACATTTGGATTTAGCTTACAGAACACAGCTGTTCTGTGAGAATGTGGCTTATATATAAGTATATATCATTTAGTGTTTTTCCATCAAAGCTGAACATCAATTTAAATGCCACATGAGCTCAAGTGCCTGAAAAGTGCTGTATTCATCTAAAAATTACCTTTCGTTCTGCGAAATACGTATCTTAGAGCAATGCCTATCAGGCTTCCACCCGCTAGAAGGCTTATTGCCAGACCTCACCATTCACCACCACTCTTCCTCCTCTCCTTAAACAGGTTGGAACCCAGCTTACAAGTGAAAGTTTATTTATATGAAGTCTTTAGAACTATTCCTTGGTATTGAACTGTCCTTATTTTTTAAAACTCTGGACACTAAACTGTTCAGTGATGACTGTGCAGATTGTCTAAATGTTGTAATCTCTTGAGAAGAATTCTTTATTGTTAACATCTACTTAAATAAGCACTTTTGTGCTTGTTGCAAAAAATAATGCAAATTACTAGCTACTATACTAGCAGTAGTACTAATAAAATTTACTAGAACTAGTAAAAACAACTAGTTCTATATAATTAGGTACTTTTGTCCACTTGAAAAAGGAAATAGTTGAAGTGGTTTTGTCTAATCCAGTGGCACTTTATTAGTAATGTATTTTATTTGTCTTTGATATAAGACAATTCATGCTTTTACCTGCAAAGTCATGTTTTAGTTAAATCTTTAAAATTGTAAGGTATGTAGTATGGGTATTATAATTATGTATTTTACATTTCAAAACTGGGTAAACATTCAAAGGTTATACAAAAATAATTGTTGGAATCCTTTAAAATGTAGATGGTAAACATCAATTACAAGTTTTTTTGTTACATAAAGTATATTTGTTGTTAATTTCATGTTATATTAAATAAAAATAGTTAATTTAAATAGCTTGTACTGTTCTTGTATATATACATTACAAAAAAATTTCATGCTAGAAAATTATATAAATTAATGTGTATAACTGTTAAAAGAAAACCTAACTTTTTGTGTATGTGTTTTTATAGTCTATGTTCTTACCAAAGAGCTCCCTAGCTGTATGGCTAGGAATGCTAATTTCTAAATTTTAGTGCCAGATTTAGCTATAATGTGTTAATTTTTAATTTTATATTTTTTAAATAACTGCAATAATCACATGGTTCAAAACGCTACAGATACAAGTGTAAAAAAAAAAAAAGCCATCCTATCTTTATTGTCTTCCTGTGCATCATTCTAGAAATCTTTAATCTAGGAAAGATTAGTAGTCCCTTCTTTACTTCTAACCTTGCAGGAACTGAGGGGTTCTTACCCTGTCAGGGTTATTGTTCCCCTTCCATGCAATATAAATGGTGTGGTAAGTCCCTGAAGTAAATCCTTCACCTTTTTTCCTATTTGGTTTCATGTCTCATCAATGCTATCTGGGCAGATTCATCTCAGAAGTTTTTTATGCACTGTACCATTCTAGAACATTCTTATCTCCTATTTGTAAGCCAAGGTGTACCAAGTCCTTCATAGTCCTGTCAAGACTACCTGATAGTTGTTATCACATATTCAGAGTCAGTATTATTGATACTCATTACCTTCAGATTGAGCAGGCATAATTGCACTGTAAAAGTACCAGGTTAGTCTCCAGTCTTCAGCCCCACTGTTTTTTATCTACTTGTAAACACTTGTTTCCCAGAGAAAGATGTGAGGGATAAAGGAAGAGTGAAAAGGATTATTTGTGAATTGTATGTCATTCTCTGAGCCTTTTCCCTTGCCCCATCCTCAAAATTGAACATTCTAACCAAATAGGAGATGCCCCGTGGAATTACCACATCTAGAACTCTGCTGTCTAAAGTGTATTTAACTGGGATCTTGAAAGAGCTGCTCCACAATGCATTCAGTAATAGCAGTTAAAACTACTGTGTATTTATTGCCTCAAAAGGACATAATATAATCACTTATAAGAGTCTATCCTCCAACTGAAGAGTTATGTCTGAATGTAATCAAATTATTTTTTGGTTACATCCATGGACACTTCCCATCACAATGACTTGTGGCCATGTTTAGGACTTGCAAAAGGACTTGACAACTTCAGTTGTCATCATATCCCCAACATAAATTCTAATAGGGAGAACTGAGGTTCATTTATTACTGATAGTGACTGCCTATTTTTTTGTTCACAATTATGTGAATGAGTTTCACTTAAGTTTTCACTAGTTCATTTTAGTTGCTGTACAATCGATGAGGAAAAACTGGAGTTCTATATCTGTACATATACAGATATACCAAGGACACCTCAAATTACTAAAGGATATATATGTAATATATGTATGTGTAATATTCACAGATTTATATGTAATATTCATAGATTTATATGTAATAGCTATATAAAAAATCTTGACATTAGAAACTATACCTTCCTTTCAAAAGCAGGAGGAAATTTTACCAAAAAAAAGGAATTTGGGGCACAAAGAAAACAATTTCCATAAAGTACAAATATTACAAATAACATTCTGATGCCAATCCCAAGTGAAATTAAAAACAATTAGAAAATGAAAAGACTTAAACATAAAGATTTAAAAACCTATTACATAATTAATAGGATGAAAAGAAAACTAAAAATTACTGGAAGATGATGTAAAAATAACTATTATAATATAAAAAAATAAATAAAATAAAATGTGGGGCCCTTCTTAAATCAGAAAAAAAAACAAAACAAAACTGGAAAAACATGGAAGCAGCCCAAATGCCCAAAAGTAGATGACTGGATTAAAAAGATGTGGTACATATACACAATGGAATATTACTCAGCAA